CCGTCCAGCAGATAATAGTGTACTGACACCGCTGGACGGTGTGGTCTCATGAAAGTGATAAGTGATGGGGTTACTATCGTCCCTTTCATGCTATCCTTTTAGTCAGGTACCACTTCAGGACATGAACAGGCCCCCAAGTTTATTTGCATCGTCTCCAGGATGTAACGAGGCAGAGAGTGTAAGGATATCGGACGGATCAGGTGAGGGAGTCTGATCTTTCGTCAGGAAGCCGACTGAAGGGAATGAGGTGAACACCATTCAGCTCCCAACATCGACGGCCTTTGGCAATGGGGAGAGCCTGTAATTGCTGCCTCCTCAAAACGTAACCATTTTCAAGAGAAAGGCCAACCTGACACAGGTGTGTGTTAGGCAGGTATTATTTAGGGTTCAAAGGAAGGACCGGAAAGCATCTAGAGAACCTAGCTTACGTCTTATGACCAGACCAATATCCCAACAAGGGGACACTGGATAAGCATATCATGCAAAGGGTGATGGAATGTCATGTTATTAATTTAACCCTAACACCCCCTAGGGTGTATGTAAAATCATATTGAAATTGGAGGATTTGGGACTGTTGGGGTTAAGGGCAGTTAATCGATCTTTAAACCACAGTATCTGGCAGCTAGGGCTGACCTGTAGATATGAGTTGTAGATACAGTCGAGCCTTGTTAATACAAGATTCTGCTTATAACAAGGACAATTTTAGGTCCCAATCCTTTGTAAGTCATTGTTTTCATTCCTGATAATGCAAGGTTCCTGTTATAAGAAGGTAATTTGCCAGGTCCGAAGGACCTCTTACTACTGAGATTTGACTGTACTTGTAGCTCTGAGTGAAAGAAGTACATAAGGAAGTCTGTTATAGCACTCGCAGCAGCATTAGCTGGAACCAAAGCCTGACTATCGATGTACATAACACAATGCTAAAATCTGCTGTCACAAATTTTGAAAGTTGGGCAGATGACGTCCCATGCGGCCATGGCTGTAGCATTGCTAGAAAGTCCAGCCGAAGAGGATCGTTGTTCGTTGTTCAGAGAGGCGAAAAAATCGATGTGAGGTTGCATCCCAGGGAGAGTGCGTCCCGTCACTACGTCATTGGACCCTGCCATGTGGACTGCCTGCAGGTCAACTGCATGATCCCTTGTCCTTTCCATTAATGTGGCTTTGGTTGGAAGTGTAAAAAAAAAGAGGTAAGAAAGCCGCAAGATGG